TTGTACGATTTTTGCTTGCGCTCCAGTCATCAATCCTTTGCACTGTGCCAAAATACAAAACGGAAGCCATAATAGATCAAACATGAGTAACGTCAGTGTGACGTTGTCTTTGTTGATTTTTAACAAGAGTGCGTGCCGGAGTCAGTGTGATGTACAGACCGAATGAACGAATATATTTCATATATGCAAATGGGAAATGTGAGCCGATTACTTCATCATTTATACGACATAAAGTTGTATGTTTCATTTTTACACATTGAAATAGCTATATCAAATAACACAAATGTTGATAAGTGGTACGCTCAAAATAATAAGCATTGGACTCAATACTGTGGCTAGAAATCCATCGCAGCGCCTTTTGCCGGTACCTTGGCGGGCCCGGACCGGCGGCAGCGGGCGACAGGGCTCAGGTGTGCCGCGGCGGCGCTGTGGCGGGGAGTCGGAAGCCGCTTAGTTTGTGGTGTGGTCTGAGACCGCACGCCACAGTGCCATCGATTGTCATTTGAATTTAAAATTGGGCCCGGCCGTTCTTGAGATAAGCGGGGAGATGGGTCAAACCTGCCCCTCCGGTCAATGGTGTGCCGCTTAGGAGCCGGGTCAGGGCCGGGTGAAGAGGCGGAGTGTGCATTCGAGTCTCGCGAGGTGGTATGGTGGTAGGCATAGTGGACATTTTAGCCATGCATAGGGCGGGCTGCGATTTGTATGGAGGACGTGGTACACCAACATAACATCCTACCAATCCCACATGCAGGCATGCACCTTTACTTCATAGATGAATTCCCGATCGGATCACTTGCTTCTGGATGCAGGATTTCCCACGCCATGTCATATTTGCGAGTGCCGGAAAGATGCATTGTGATTAAATGAGTGCACCGGGCAATGTATGTACCATCGATATAGATTTGCGTTTGACTTCAGCGCAATTGCTTCGCATCTCATGCGTTGACAAAATCATCATCTGTCTTTTGATGAACAAGCCCTAGGGCGTTTGGCATGAAACATATGTCCATGACTTTCACATATTCCTGCGCTTGGTTTGCGGGCGCTTCGAGGAGGTCACTTGGGGGCCGAAATGTAGCGAAATGGAGTTATTTTTTAAAAAGTGACCATCTCGTGGGACGCGGGTGAGCCTGAAAATCCTTCGTAAGTCACCTCAGGCGTATGGTCTTCCTACCTTCCATTTCCTTACCATCGGATGGCACCGGCGCCTGCCTAATCTGACACTTCGGCGACATGTGCAACCGCTGTACCGGTGTCCGGTCGCATCACCAGGAGTGTGCAGCCGCTGTACCGGTGTCCAGCCGCATCACCAGGAGTGTGCAGCCGCTGTACCGGTGTCCAGCCGCATCACCAGGAGTGTGCAGCCGCTGTACCAGTGTCCAGCCGCATCACCAGGAGTGTGCAGCCGCTGTACCGGTGTCCAGCCGCATCACCAGGAGTGTGCAGCCGCTGTGCCGGTGTCCAGCCGCATCGCCAGGAGTGTGCAGCCTCTGTGCCGGTGTCCAGCCGCATCACCAGGAGTGTGCAGCCGCTGTGCCGGTGTCCAGCCGCATCGCCAGGAATGTGCAGCCGCTGTGCCAGTGTCCAGCCGCATCACCAGGAGTGTGCAGCCGCTGTGCCGGTGTCCAGCCGCATCACCAGGAGTGTGCAGCCGCTGTGCCGGTGTCCAGCCGCATCGCCAGGAGTGTGCAGCCGCTGTGTCGGTGTCCATCCGCACCGCCAGGAATCAGGCGGCTTGGGTTGTAAATCACAAACGGCGCATCACGCTCCGCTGAAGTAGCAGAGCATTTATGTGGCGTGACAACGTCGCGTCGAAGGGCAGCGTCCGTGTCAAACTCCGTTTCATCTTCGTTACTAAGCTGACGGTTCTCCGTTAGTGTCGGAAGCGAAGAACCTCTCGTTCCAATCAACCCAAGAAATAGCAAATAAAGGATCGGGTCATCGATGTTTCCTCTTTCCGATGGCGTGTGATGCCGATGTCTGAGGACAACGAAGCACGAGATTCTGTCTGAGCAACGTGATCACTGCTGCTGGGACATTCGATCCTAAAATACGTTGCCAAAATTTAATTGATTTGATGTCGTTTATGAACCGATGTTTTCCGCTTGTTGTCAAATTCCGCGAAAAGTACTGCATGTTTGCTTTGTCGTGCTTCGTCAGGCATGAGAGGATCGCTCTATTTTCCTCCTCCCTGCCCCTCCCGTCGGACGGTCTGTCTGATGCGTGTGACGGCTCGACTACATCCCAGTAAAAGTAGTTTTCCACATCGGCGCGACACGGCGTGCGGACATTATCCCAGCGTGGCTGTCTGCCGCCGCCCGGACGGCACGCCGCCCAGCGTGACTGTCTGTCCCCATCCGGACGGCACGCCCAGAGCGCGTCCAGCCGGGCGGCGCGGCGGCAGGCTCGTCAGCCCGCCGCCAGACTGGCGCCCGTGCCAGCACGCGCATTGGAGCGGCCACAGAAGGCGTTTGCAGGGCCTCGAAAATCAATACGGACGCGCGAACTCGGCCGGCCGCCGTGGCCGGCTAGGGCACGCTAGGGCAGACACGGCACGTCCCTGTCTGCGTCCGCTGGTGACCGATTCATCCATCCGTTTGTCCGTCTGGCTGTCAGTCCGTCTGTTTTTCCGCTGTCGGCTATCGGTTGCCCGTTGTCCGCTGTCCGTCGTCTCTAGACCACTTGCACCTGCGGGCCGTCACGGCATCGTTCTCGGCCGCCGCACGCTGCGGAGGATTACCAGCGTCCAGGGATCTGAGGTGCTAAAGAAATGGGCCCGGGGTGGCGACCTCGATTTACGGGCCGGTCACGCGCCTCGGACCGACGGCGGCGACTCGGCTCGACCCCGCGCCGCCGGACGGCCGGGCCGCAACGGCTGCCCGGAGCCGGCGAGGCGTCACGGCCTGTCTTCAGTGCAGTGCGACTGTGACGCTCTCGAGCGGAGAGGCGTGACGGGGCGTATTTTCGGGGCAAGCGAATCGGGACGACCTCTTCTTCGGAGAAGGGGACGAATGGCAGAGCCTGTTTTTAAGGGGAGGTTTGATTTGGTTGGATAGTGAGAAAAGGTGCAGCGTATGGAAACCAGGTATAGTTTGAACCCACTTTTTATTGATGCAAAACGCATCAGGACAATTCAGCAAACCCTCTGGATGTGTCTTTGTCAAAGCCTATAACCGTCGTGTAGATCACTTGGTGACGATGCTACTGTTTCACCTCCTCGCCTCTGGCGCCCGCGGGCTGAGAAGCCCTTTCAGGTAGAAGACAAGCTTACACGCCTGTCGAATCTACGCCTCCCCGTGGTTTCGCGCTCGCTTACGACTGAGAATACTTCCAAACCAAACCCACATAATGAGTAACTTGATGTGGCATGTGTGTGAATTGGAGCGGCGCCACTTTTGTACATAATATGCTGGCACATGGTACATGGTACATGGATATGCATACGTCGATGTACCGGTAGTCGGTGCCAAAATGGGTACTGCGGTACCAGAGCATCATCTGGGCCAGCGGCGTCGGTGCTCTGTACACGACCGTACCCTTTAACGTACCGGCCATGCTGCACCAGCCACTCTTCCAGTGCATCAGTACTCACTTCGGTACCGGCGTAGATGGCCAGTGGACACTGATAGCAAAATGTTGAATCTCTAGACAACACGCGTCAACGCACACAATGTGCGGACGATAGCGCGCGTCACACCGCCACGCCCTCCGCCTGCCGGCGGATGCCTCCCTGATTCGCGGTCTGAGAATCCAAGGAATGTCAGCTGCCTGTGGCACGTCGTGGAGCCCTGCCCCCGCACATTCCCGCCATCATGCTCTGAACGAACACGAGCATATTGCGCGTGTTCGGTGCCGCGGTCTTCTTGCGTACGGTGTTCTTCAGAGGCCGAGCATATTACGCGTATTCGGCGCCGCGGTCTTCTTGCGTATGATGTTCCTCAGAAGCCGGCGCGCCGCGATGTTCCGTGCCGGGCACAGACTGACTGACCTTCCAAGGCCCGGCCCGCAGACGGCCAGAGGGCGTCGATACGATCGTCGGCCGGCCAGCCCCTGTGGCCTTTCGAGCCTTCCAGCCGGGCCCATTATCATCGGCTCCCAGGGGGCCGAGGGGAGCGTGTTCCCCTGCGCCCCTGCCTGCGCCCCTGAGGCCGCGAGTTGCAGGGAATGTGATGTTCACGAAAGCGACCTTTGAATAAGAATGAAGTGGTTGTGTGAAAGGGCAGGAATAGCCGAATTGCTGGTTATGGTTTGTCATCTTCGGCATGCAGCGCCATCTCTACAAATGGCTTTGCTGGATTGCGCCATCGTCCTCGGATATTGCAAGGCACTTTCCAAATTCATTTAACCCTGTGTTAATCACAACCTGGAGCAGAAACATGATTCGTGACTTTTAAAACTCTTCTGAATATGTCTTATTACATATGATATTTACTATACGCACACGGCTTCGCGCGTCGCAAGATGCATTACCGGTTCCACAGCATTAGTGCTAGTGCATGAGCTTCTACCGACAGCCGTGCTACCACGGTGCTGTAACTACCCCGTGCCATGCGCTGTGCTCTGCTGTCCCGCTTTGCTCTGTGTTGCCAACTGCCCTACCGCAGTGCGGGGCATAGGGCAGAATCTCCAGTCCCCTTTGTCTCTGTCTGAAATCTGTGCAGCCCTTTGACCCGAGATGCCTAATCTCGCGTCAGATCTCGCACTTTGCGTCTCCGCTCTATCTTATCGCGCGCAGAGCGGAGGGTCGCCGGAGTGGCGTGCGTCACTGCGCACGTTTCGCCTCAGACGCGCGTGTGGCGCGGAGAGGTCGGCCTCGCGTGTCGCTCGAGCCCCTAGGAGCGGTGTCGCGTCTGTGGGAGCCGCCGCGTGTCACTGCCGACGATCAACGGCTCTTGCAGAGCCCTCTGGGGTGTGACCAGCCGCTGAGCGCCAGCAGCGCCAGCAGCGCCAGCAGTGGCAGCGGCAGCGCCGGAGCGGTTGGTGAACCCGGCCCAAGCGGCATGGGTCTGTGCGGACTGGTGACAGTGAACGCGGGTGACGCCACTGACGCTGGTTGACGCCCGCAGGCGGCGTCCGTACCATGTGGCAGCCGGTGGTGGGCGAGGCCGAGGGCCGCCTGCCCTGCGCCCGCTCCAAGCACGCCGCCTGCCTGCTGGACGGTGCCATCTTCGTGCTCGGCGGACGCAACGGCAACCTGCCGCTGCGCGACTTCTGGCGGCTCGATCTCGGTGAGTGCGGGGACCCGGCCAGCCTGTCGCCGCTCCCCCGTCCACCGCCCATGCTCTCGATCTCGGTGAGTGTTGGGACCCGGCCAGCCCGTCGCAGCTCCCCGTCCACTGCCTATGCTCTCGATCTCGGTGAGTGTTGGGACCCGGCCAGCCTGTTGCAGCTCCCCGTCCACTGCCTATGCTCTCGATCTCAGGGAGTGTATGCACCTTGCCAGCCTGTTCCCGCAATGGTCAAAGCTCCATTCTTTAAGGAAGTCTGAAAAATGCTCCATTCTTGATTCCTCATATCCACGAAGTTTGTCGGCACAGAACGAAGATGTGAACAGCGTGCAGACGAGAGAACACTGGACGCGACGAGGAGCCGTTGTAGGGCGCGTTTTTGTCCGATTGTGACGTGTTACGACCTGAACACTCTCACCTCAAGTTGGAGGCTCCGGCGTGATTCACCATCATCAACCGCCAGCAAGCCGATGCCCTTGATGGCGTTTGGCGGCGACCATAATTGGCACACAACATAGCATGCGATGTGCCCAGCATGACGTCACGAATAATGACCAGCCTGCTCTACAGTCGGCATGTGTGTCAAACGACGCGGTCAGGGTAAGCGAACGTAAGTCGTATATATATATATATATATATATATATATATATATATATATATATATATATGTATCTATATATATATATACCATAACCATAATTGGCACACAACATATATATATATATATATATATATATATATATATATATATCGTTAGTCATTAAACCTCCGCTGCTGAGCGCGTCGTAAATCCCCAATGACGACAAACATCCCCATTAAATAATCAGTATCATTAAACGATCTCCATTGAAGTGCAACCGCATGCAATCGACGCAACAGTGGATTCCTGGGTAAGCAGAGCCCTTCACTTTGAAGCCGTTCCGCCATATTGTTTTCAGTAATCTATGATTTCCATCGAATGACGTCATCGCTGATAATGGCATATCGTATGACGTCATCATTGGTGATACATCGTATGTCGTCATCACTGGTGATGTCATATCGGCAGAAAAACCAAAGCCATACTGCTGGGCGCGTCATGGCGTTGCAGGTGGGCCGCGCTTGTCTGGCCCGCGCCAGCACGCGATAACGTGGCGGCCCGGTCCCGCCCGGCTGGCCGCCGCAGCCCTCAGGGACGCCGTGCGAGCGGCCGATCGATGCCCATGGGACTGCGGTATTGCGCGCTGCCGCTGGGCCATTGGCGGCCGCAAGCACGTGGCCCGGAATCGGTGACGTTTCCCTGTGATCTTGTTACTCGCAGGGGACATCGTCCACAGGTGCGCTGCTGAGATCACGCGCCGGCAAACGTTGGAGATGACGTCACTCGTTGCTGAGGTTACACACTGACAAACATTGGAGATGACGTCACCCGTTGCTAAGACCACACACACGGGCAAGCATTAGTTTTTTTCCGGGATGCTTATACGCAAATCTGCGTTTTAGTGATTTTATGCGGGCTCTGGTTGCGGGAAGATCCTTTTTGTAGAAACATTGTCATATACCTTGTTTCAGTGCTGAATTTGCATTGGATGAAACATATTGAGCCTCGCAGTTATTTATCATCACGATGGACATGAAATTATCACATTTACATTCGTGCAGAAGTTTGCCCGTTATTACCAACCTATGAGTGAGACAGCAGGCCGGTCGAATTCGACGCGGGCAATAGGTAACTGTCAACACCGCCGACAGGTCCGGGCCGGCCGTCATCCTGTTTGTGAAGTAATATGTTCATTGCTATGCGTCGTAGTCCTTTGACATCAGCGCGAGCGTGTTACAATATGCAATACCATTCGGGACCGGCGCAATGATATTCCGGGACCGAGATCGCTCTAGCAATTTCTGCCCTACATCGAAACTCTAGTGCAATATCGAGGGTATTATGCAAGAGCAATATGTGATGCCACACAGGCCAATACAATCATTTTTCGGAATCGAGGTTGCTGTCGCAATCTCTGCCAGTAACCAAAGATCGTGGGCGGAAGGTCTACGGCCACCAAGGCCATGTAATTCGGAATTCCCGGGATTCGCTCCGGAAAAAGCGTTCCATGCCTTTTACCAAATACTGTTATATGATGGAACATGGATACAAAGTTACAACGATTTTCCCACCATACTTATTAAATCATGGGTTATAAAAATGGGTGGGAAGACCATGGAGGGAAGGTGTGTATTCAGTCTGGCACCATTAAGGTGCCAGCATCTGCGACCGTCGCCGCTATCAGCATCGAATGTTTCTGAGAATGTACCCTTCTACCTCAGATACTGTTTATCATCAACGCCGCTGAGAGTGGTTGTAAACCATTCACAACAAGAACAGTCCTCAAGAGGTCCTTCAAATGTCAGCCGTGTTTTTGTTCGAAGAGACGTTTGCGCGTGATTCGGTAAAATTCTGGCCCGTGGTCAGAAATGCTCCCCCAGATAAAAAGCTGAAGGTCTCGGGCTAAGGCCGAATGTATACGACCCGCACCATCTAGTGCAAAAAGGACATCACAACATGTGATGAAAGGTTGTTGACCTGATGACATTCAATGTTGAGCTATTTGGTCAAACTTTTTGGCGTACTGAGCACATACAATGTACCAAACCATTTTCCGCATGCCTTCCAAAAAGGGGTACCGGATACCTGGGACGTATGTCGTCACTTTCCTCAACGGCCCCACGAGCCAAATGTAACAAACGAAATGCGCGGGGCAGGCGTCCAAGAATGTCTCGTCATAGAGCTTCCTGCGTCGCTCAGATGACCCTGAGGCAGTGAGAGAACCATTCTGTCAGTCAAAGGCCCTAACACTAAGGAAAGGGGCCTAGTGGGTACCGAGCAGGGACTCGTCCGAGCCCATGGGTCCATCAGGCAAGCTGGGACAGGGCTAAGGTCTCAGAATGTTAGTCAGAGGGCTACATACGCCACTCTGGGTCCTGAGACGATCAAGGCCTAACCTCTGTCGTCCGAGACCTTGGGAATGGTACTGGAAGGAGGCCGCCGGTACGAAAACAGCGAGCCATGTCCTGCGGAGGCGGCGAGCAAGCGGAAGGTCTCGACTTCGGAGACAGGTTGGCCGCGCCAGCGATAGCATGCCCGTTGAAGCCGCTGATCGCGCTCTGGTCTCAAGCGCTCAATTTGGCCGCTTAACCATTGACAATACGGCGCTACCACATTCGCTCATTGCTCGCATTCGCATTAGTACATTACTGGCATTCGCGAGAATGTCGAGTCGCTTTCACCTTTCTTTGCCGACGCTGCCTTGCACGGGCTTGTGACTGAGCTGACTGAGAGGTTGGAGTCAGTATTTGGCAGCAGGTTCTTATATAAAACCGGTGGGTAGAGCTCCCACCAGGCTTGGTGTCCGCTGTATTCGCGTTTTGTTCCTGTTACGTTTTGCATACCTAGGTACCCTTGGGAAGTCTGCACAAAATAGTCTGCGTACGTTCGCGAGCGTTAAACCTAGAAGTTGGAGGGTTTTGAGTCTTGAAAAGGTTATGGCTGTGAGCTGCACTAAATGATCTTCGAAATTACTTTTTTCATTTCAAAACACCATACAAATGTGGAACACCGTCTTTAATGTCCCAACTCAGGGTTCAAAAAGCCCGGCAAACTCCTCCGTTGCGATTCTGTACTAAGCTCAACGGCTGGCAAAGAAACTTCCTCAGTCCCTCAAGGCCGTGTGCACTGCCGGCGGGGGAATAAGCCGGAGGCGATCTGCGTCAGGCGTGGGATGTGGACAGCTACCTAGGCATCAAGTCCTATTTCTAGCGCAAGTCATGATCGGTCGGAAGGCACAGTGATATAGCCAGAGGGTTACATAGATCGTATTCTCGGACCGAGGCGTGGGACGTGGTGGTTTTTAATTTGTTGTTTAAGTTTAACTTTGCAATCAACCTTTTGTCTCCTTCCCACGGTCAGAACCGTCTAGCCCTGTCATTCTCAGTTACGTCAGTCACTAAAGGTGCTATTCGTCGTCTGGCATGATAACCTCTGGCATCGCCTTTGTTTTGCATAATTATCCCCAAAAAATCCATTCTTCTGCGAAATTCTGAAATAATACTGTGGAAAGCCGAAAACTGCTGTGAGATCTTCAGGACGAGCATTGCATGAGATAACGTATCTGTCGTTTTATTGGAACAGTGCAATCTGATGAGTGGTGTAAACGCTAAAAAACGCCAAACGAGCGTTTAAAAGGATACAACAGCCGTTCCGGCCCGAGGAAAGTTTTTGTTTGTTCTCGAGCGGATATTTCCTGCTTGACATCACCCACGACGACACGGAAGAAGTGCTGCGTCACGCAAGGGAGGTTAGAAAAGGGAGCCGGCTATTACCTTACGTGATATTTACGTCGCGAGACATACATCCCGATCACAAAACACATTGCGTCGCACTACCGAGCGGACGCGTTGCTGTTTTATTTCGCCATGCTTCACGCCTCCACTGGGACTTCCGAATCTCCCCCACCGCGGACTCACCGGGCCGGAAACTCCTGCCGCTGTTCGCCTGAAACGCGTTTTATTAATCTGAGCTCTTGGGCAGATTTCCTTCAGACGACTGCGCCTCCGGAGGCGACACGAAATGACAGCTAAATGGAGGCACGCCCCATGTAACAAATTTGCCACCGGCACGTCGAATGTGATGTGATGTTTTCCGGCGCTGTGATCACGGGCGTTGTCCGCCATATGGAGCCGCGTTGTTGGCTGCCTTTCCATGCGCTTATGAAACTGCGTGGTGTCTTAGCCACGACTCACTGATGTCTGCGTGTTTGTCGTCAGCCGGGCGAGCTGAATACGTCTGGTTTGCTTCCTTTGCGATGTTTGTAGGAAGTTGACTTACGTTCTCCCATAGCCTTCAGCTTGTGTCTTTGGTTTGTTCCTACGGAAAATCGGTTTACACATGTGCGTTTAAGTTCAGTGATATAGGGGACCATTGCACTCAATGAATGGATGATAAGTCTTTTTTAATCCAATGCACTGC